TTTACTGATTATTGAAGTAAATCTACATGGTTCATTTTCTTTTTTCTTTTGACATGAAATGTCATCTTTTTGTTAATTGGGTGGCTAAAAATATTAATATTCTAAGTATACACCATTTCAGTTAATATGATATGAAAGAATAAAAAAAATAATAAAGGAAATAACTTTACAAAATTTAAAACATAGAAATTGGGAGATATATTTTATGAGACAATAAGTAGGTTGAATGAACATTTTGATAAATACTTGGTATTTTCATATCTATAATAATTGAAAGAGGTTGTTGGGAACTTTTTTTAGTCAAATATGATTGACTTTCCAATAATAGAATTGTTAATTAGTATAATTTGAATAAAAATTGTTTTTTCTTTTTCTTGATTTCACGTATGAAATGGAATCGAAATGTATTTAATAAAAAAAATTATTTATTTTCTTACTTTATGAATTAGATTTTTATATTGATAAGTTAAAAAAAAAATGATCAAATTATTTATGTTTTCACTTTAAAATATGTAAAATTGTAAAACAATGAGGACACATTGTAATTTTTTGATAGATAAATACATATCAATGTGTAATAATCCGTAGCTATCTTGATTTTTTTAAGCCAATTTTGAAATAAATAATAGAACATTTATCAATTAGCTAAAAACACATACTTGAAAGAGGTTGTTGGATTTATTATAATTGAGATTTTTTTTTTGGTTAAATTTGATTGACTTTCCAATAATAGAATTGTTAGTATAATTTGAAGAAAAAATGATTTTTTTCCCGGTTTCCTGATTTCACGTATGAAACGGAAATCTGAATGTATTTGATAGAAAAATCAATTTTATTTTCTTAATTTATGAATTAGATTTTATATCGATAAATTTAAAAAATTGATCAAATTATTTATGTTTTTCACTTTAAAATATGTAAAATTGAAAAACAATGAGGATACATTGTAATTTTTTGACAAATTTATATATTTTAGTACATATCAATATGTAATAATTCGTAGCTATCTTGGTTTCTATTATGTGTTTTCCAGATACAAGAGTATTCATTCAACTTCAAATTGTTTGATTTTGGATTAACTAAATTATGATCGTAAGGCTTTAGTTGTGATTAAGCACATTGCACTCCTTAGTAAAATGACCGACGAACATACAGAAGTCTATTAAAAATTATGATAGTTATTGACTCGAAAAGTGGCGGTATATTTTTTGTTTATGGTCACGGTAGAACTGGTAAGACATACTTGTGCAGGACTTTATCTGCATAGTCAAGATAGTCCGTGAGGTGCAAACTGGTTTTTTCTTTGATGATCAGACCTTTGTATACTACTAGAAATTACAGAATCGGAAACGGAAATTATTGTTGCTTAAGAGTATTTTTCTATTACTAATACACAACAGAAACAAACAAATTCCGTTTCATAATTGGTTAGTGAAAACAGGGTGGCTAATGCTCGGAAACGGAAATCAGTTTGTTATTGTTTGCAACGATTTTTGCAACAAAAAAGATCGTTCCTAATAGTAGAGTAGTAGCAACCAAATACGTAACAGATATATTCGTTTCTAATATTTACTAGCAGCAACCGAATCAGAAATGGAAATATCCGTTACTAATTATTTCATTAGCTACAATTTTTGTAATGGATAGTTTCGTTCCTAATGTGTATATTAGCAACCATTTCATTAACAAAAAAAATCCGTTGCTCATATATTGAATTATGTACCAAAATTATAATAAAATATTATTATTTGATTATTTTTATTATAATTCAACAAATCTAAAATTCAGTACGTTGAATTGATGTTTTAATGGTTGCAAATTTGAATACATTATATTTTATATATATAACAATTTACAAAATAAGAGAAGAATAACCGAATAAATTAAGGAACACAATAGCAAACCATATAATATTATTCGTTATTAAAATCAACTTACATATCAACGTTCCATGACATAAAAAACAACAAACAAACAATTCAATCACATAAAAAACAAACGTGACAAACATTTCTATCAGATAAAACATAACGCATTAGACGTGAACAGCTGTGGAATCAATATTTTCAACATTTGAATATCCACACGCATCATTCGACAATATTTTTTTTGTATTCTTGGGCATCGGATATGAATCCTTCATAGATGGATGAACAATTCAAATCAAGCCGCAGCCTATTGTGCTTCTCAATCTTTGTGTTCCACTCTTCTTCCTGTATCTGTTCTCCCTGTTATAAAACAGGGAGAACAGAATAGTTAATTATTTACGGGTCAATATTAAGTTGTGCGTAAACAGAATAGTTAATTATTTACAATTTAGTAAACTACTCAGTAACTTATGGGTCAATATTAACTTAACATAAACGAAATAGTCAATTATTTATAGTTTCATAAATTATTCAACTACTTAATTTTTTTTTATCTGAATAGTTTATACAAAAATAAAATATGTTAAATAATGAAAAATATAAATTTATATATATACTTATTATTCACATAGGTTGTTAAATATATGATAACATTTTACCCAAAAAAACTATTTTACGGAATCACATTATAGCAAAACGAATTTATGAATAACAATATTGAAATGATACTTATTTTGAAACGAATATAATTTAATTTATTATCAGTTATATGCACCACACGGGTTGTGTACTAATTTTAAATGAGATTTTTATGCAATTTTGTACAATTTAAAATCTATATAATATTTTCAATAAATTAGTATAGGTAATTGCATTACATATTGATTCCATATTCTTAATTTATAAATATTACTTAATAAAAAAAATTAAGTTATAAATATTAATAAATATTTTGTACCCGTGTACGCGACTCATATTAATAGTGTACAATAGAATACCCATTATTGCTATTTAGTTATACAAAAAACATCAAACTTATAGAATTTTGTTTTTCTCTTTTATAAACAATAAAATAGTTATTTTATCATATATAATAACTTGATATGAAGTTTGATAAACTATAATCTACGTGTTTACTGATTATTGAAGTAAATCTACATGGTTCATTTTCTTTTTTCTTTTGACATAACATGTCATCTTTTTGTTAA